TATTTGAGTTCAATTCGATTCGATTCGATTTAATTTGAAAAAATCAAATCAAATTCAAATTGCTTAAATATTTGATTTGATTTGATTTTGAGGAACCCTAATCAGCAAATATATTTTGGGAGTTTTTATTTGACTCGAGTTGAGTCAAGTCAAATTTAAGTATAACTCAAGTCAAATCAAGTTAGAGTTTTAAAATTTTTTGACTCGACTCGACTTGTTAGGAGCTCTAGTTCGTGTTAATGTATTTGCAAAAGCATTCATGGCCAAAACATGTCTCGCAGATCTTAATATATCACATATTGCATTCTCAGATTCCTGTGCATTTATACTGCTAGACATTTGATGCATAATAGCAATAGCTTCATCAAGAATAGCTACAAATGGACGGGCTATGAACCCAATACAGAAAAGACTCTCAATCTGTATTATGATAATATCCCACTCATTTATAAATAAGTCTTCTTGTATATTTTGATAATTGCAAATTTGAAAATCAGATGCTTTTAGTTTATCAAGTTTCGTTTTTGATTCATTACTAAAAAACTTTCAGTAAGAAATCCAGATATAACATGGCAAAGAAAAGAGATCATGTATCTTATTTTTCAATATCATAATAATCTCTCTTAATATAATAGTTTTCCATATTCCCAGAGGAGAACGAATAAGTGTTATTATTTTCTTAATACCCAAAAAAATTGGGATATACTTCTGGAGTATCCTTTAATTTTTCTATATTAATCATCATTTCTGATAATCTTACAAGATAGCGTAAATTTTATATAGCGTCATTTATTCTTTTAACTAATCCTCTCTTAGGTTTTGCAGAAATTTCAGTCACCTTTCCAAACGCTAATCTCTTATGATCTGGTTTATAATTTTTCTGCCAATAACATTTGAGTATAAAACATCTGTTACTTTAAAGAAAGCCATATAACTGGTCCTTTTCATGTTTGATTTCACAAATAGGATATGCTTGGTATAATTGGATTTAAAAGTAAACAAAAATATTCCCAATTTTTCCAATCCAAAACTATTTATATTTTGCAATAACTAAGTTAGCTCTCTTACTTAAGGTGGTTTCATTTTCAATATGTTGAAATTCCTCTTTTTTCTGACTTCTCAGAAGAAAAATTCATGGTTAGATTTCAGAACAATCAGATTTAGACTGAACTAAATAATCTTTTAACTTGCAATACCCTTTCTTAACTGAAGAAATCACAGGTCTTTTAATTCTATCTTCTTTTGCTGATCTAAAGAGCTGAAGACTAAAGCGTGATTTATAAAGTCCTATATCAATAAACTTAGAGTATGATTTTTCAACCCTATCAGCAACCTTTTTTACAAAACTTTTAAGGTCTCTATAATCAATAAAGCGGGCATTAAAATATACAATATGCCAGCTACATTTATCAGAATTAGATGAATTGGCTAAAGTAAATACATTTAAAGTTATAAGATGTTTTAAATCAAAATATAAGATATCAGCATAAGCAATTAAAATTCTAAATAGTAAAACTTCTCGAATAATTCCTTTACCATTTAAAGAAGGAAGTTCAGGATTTGTGGGATCTGGGTTTTGCCTCGCATCGATATCCAAAACAAGATGAAGAGACAGGTTACTATCAATACATTCATGAGTATCGGGTATCCCATAAATTTCAGATAGATGATCAACAATTGTAAAACCCTTTTCAGATACTCAAATTATATATTTAGAAAATCTCTTCAGGATGATAAGCGCCTAAAAGAGTGATATCATCTTTACTATTAGTTTCTAATAAATGTTGAAAATATGTATAATCATTATAGTCAGGCTTATAATCAAGGTCCGTTATACCTAAGAAGAGTCTTATTGCTTCATTTATTTCTATGAGGTTGGGTTCGAATTTTTTTTATGCAGGTGCAGATAGTATAGTAGTATATGCAAGAAATCAGTATAAAATAACAGAGAAACTTGTAAAGTTTAAAATAAAAAAATGTAATATGTATGATACAAAAACAAAAAAAACTATTCTGGCATCTAATCAAATTACTAGCATAAATATGCAATAAATATATTGAATAATACTCTAAAGCAATCAATGCAAAGATATCCTGAAGTAGTAACTATACAGGAACGTGGTCTAAAGCCAAAAATATGCAAAATCTTGGTAACTCAGATAAGCAGAATTATATATAGGAAGAGAGAATAAATTTTGCGCATCTGGATTACAAATTCAGTATTTTGTGCCTCATTCTCAGCAATCAAACAGGCTATAAAAGGCGGAATTGTAAGAATAACACAACATTAACACTTCATATGTGCCTTACTAGCAATCAAAAAGTGAGTAAATAGATTGCAACACATCTTTAGCAAATACAGAGGGTAGCCAAAAGTCTCTGAACACTAAGTTTAACATCATATATCTCAAGATGCACCAATCAAAATTGGTTCAAAATTTCATATATTATTGATACAATCTCAATCTATAATATATTAAAATGTCATTTAATTTAAATTAGTGGAAGCTGAGATATGTATGTAAACAAACGTAAATTCGTAAATATTTTAATTATATAAAGATTTTTGAATACTAAAATTTAACATCATATATCGCAAGATTCACTGATTAGAATTAGTTATAATTTTTATATATATAT